TTAACAACAATTAGGGATATAGTGCAAATTTCTTCAAAAGTAAGTAGTCTTTCCTGTATGCAAAAGTGACAATGAGTCTTGTGGTACCTTATAGACTAACAGATGTATTGGAGCATAAGCTTTCGTGGGCAAAGACCCACTTCATCAGATGCATGTAGTGGAAATTTCCAGAGGCAGGTATAAATATGCAGGCCAGAGATAATGAGGTTAATTCAGTCAGGAATGGTGAGGCCCACTTCTAGCAGCTGATGTGGAGGTGTGAAAACCAAGACAGGAGAAACTGCTTTTGTACTTGGCTAGCCATTCACAGTCTTTGTTTAATCCTAAACTGATGGTGTCAAATTTGCAGATCCATACTCACAGAGCTACCCCTCTGATACTTTCCTGTATGCAGATACTGATGTTATCAAGCTACATAGTGTGTATATATATACACGCATAGAATATATTTTATAATACAATGAATATTACACACTGCAGTTACACAGCAAATATGTAATATACCATGATTATGTTTTTAACTGCTGAGTATTACCTGTTCATATAAGGTCTAATTAAAAATCCATGGAAGCCAGTGGGAGTGTTTCTACTGATTTAAGTGGACTTTGAATCAGGCCCACTCTGGAAGTTTAGTTATGTTACTAAACTGCTTATTATCACCCCTTTGATTTCGTACTTGACTGATGTATTTTTAGAACTCATATATATTAACTATATTGTTTTTGCACTATAATTACTGTCATAAAGATACTCTTTCAGTTCTATGACATTAGCAATAATTACTGATAATAAAAAATATGACTATAAAGTAATTACATTCAGTATTATAAAATGCATTTACAGTAAACTTCCAATAATCCGGCACCTTTGGGACCCAGGGGGTGCCGGATTATCAGATATGCCAGACTATCAGAAGGGGGGTCTATGAGGGGTCTGGCCCTAGGCCCCTCATAGCCCCCCCTTCCGATAGTCCGGCTCTGCCCCAGGAGTCCCTGATTCGGCTGAATCTGGGACACCTGCAGCAGAGCAGCTGGAGTGCTGCCGGGTTGGTCCGGTAGCACCGACTCTTGGCGCGGTGAGACCAACCTGGCAGCACCCCAGCTGCTCTTGGGGACGCCTGGGGCAGAGCAGCTGGGGTGCTGTTGGGTTGGTCCGGCAGCACCGCTCCTCGGTGCTACTGGACCAACCCGGCAGCCCCTCAGCTGCTCTGTCCCAGGCGTCCAGATTCAGCCGCTGTTGAAACTGATCAGCAGCTGATTCCAGGAAGCCCGGGGCAGAGCAACTCTGCCAGTTCCGACTTACATACAGATTCAACTTAAGAACAAACCTACAGTCCCTATCTTGTACGTAACCCGGGGACTGCCTGTAGTTATTTGAGTTGTTAGGAGGAGGGTCACGGTGCAGTGATATTTGAGAATCCTGAACTCTATCATCCATTTAATATTCAAATATACAAACAAGGAGGCACTGAGTTACTGTATTCCCACTATTAAATCAATAAATATGACTATGGAGGTTGTATGTCTGCTCACTCAAGAAGAGGACATTATATTTGTCTATATTTGGTCCAATGTTTTGAATTTTACCTTTGCAACTATAAATAATGGAATCTTAATTTAAGCTTAAACACTGTAAAACATAAACACAAATTATCTCCCCACATACACACCCAGCAGAGAAAGACCCACATTTTGAGAATCCCTGATAAATAGATCTTTCAACCCATCAATAACAGAAAATTGGGGAAATGAAGGCAATTAATAAAGATAATAAAAATGCTTAAAATGTATATGACACTCTCCATTTTCCAAGCATTGTGCAAATGTTAAATAACTAATCCTCACAAATTCTCATGTGGCAGGAATGTATTACTACCCCTCTTCATACAATATACACAAACAATTATGTCTGCATATGAGAGAGACGTGGGTGAGCACTGCAAAACAAAATTCTGTAACTATTTTTAAAAGAATCCACTTGGACCATGTTCATGTTCCTCTCGTGTTCATCCTTGTGAATATTCTAGTAATGTAAATTCACTAGCAGAAATGTTCACCAAAACAGCAGATTTTAAGCAAATATTGCAGAATATACATAAAAAGAACATTTCCAATTCATAATAATGGAGGTTTTGTACTGGAATCCTGATCCTAAGAGTTGCACTAATTCAACCAGGAAACAAAAATATGCCATGTGACCTATCAGTCCACTGAAAACAGTTTGAATTTAGGACTATGGATTGAATAAGTACAATGAACTGGCTGTGAATAAGGTATGCTCCAACAATTATTTCCAGAAATTATTCAGCAAATAATTTTGAAGAGCAAATAAATTAGATTTGTAAACTGTTTATAGATTATGGGCAAACAGAAAAAAAGAAGTAAAAATGCTAGAGAAAATGATTAGTTATGAATTATTAACCTAGCTCATGTATTAAAGATGTTGGAAAACCACTGGTGAGCTATGTAGGTCATCCCAAATGTGTGGAGAAAGCCTTTATACCATTATATATTCTGTATATACCACATATGTTACAGAAACTATTTTAGGAGTATTCTGGAGAGTTTTTATAGTTTTTAGTGTGTCTATTTTTGTCTCTCTCCATCTGTAAAGCCAATGCCTTAGAAACTGAGTCCAACTGTGCAGAGCTCAGATGCAGCCATAAAAAATTTCACAAATAACTTACAAGGGTTTTTCTGTCCCTTAACACTGTCAGAAATGTAATTTTTGTATCTCAGACATCTCCATGGATATAAATGTTTACTAGGTCACCTTGCGAAATGGGAACCTCCAGTTTGCAATGGCACAGAAATCCCACTTCTCACTTTACAGGATATAGAGCTTTAAAGCTGTGATGTCATTATGTTTAGGGAAGCTGTTAAGGACCATGCCCTTGGCCTTTCCTTGCTCCCTCTGCATTATGGCCAAGGATGATGATGTGGAACATTATTGTGTATAGAGATGCAGATGCTTCCTGGTTTTCCACCCCTACAAAATAAAACCACAGTACTTACAACCAATGTTCCCTCTAATCTTTTCCATCCATGTGGAATAATTTTTATGTGGACTGAGGCATGTGTATGTGCACTACCAGTAGAAACAAAAACCTAGCTGAGGGTACTCTGCTATTCAGACTTGATTTTGCACAATGCTGCATGATTCCTGGAGATGCTAAGTGCTTTCATTTCCCAGCGGCTTCACTAGGAGCTGAGGAAGCCCAGAAGGTTGCAGGACTGGTCCTGTGATAGAGGAAATTGATTTCTGCATTGTGAATTTCTTTGCATCCTCTATCTTTTCATTTTTCTGGCAGTAAGAAGGAAGCATTGTTCTCCCAGATGGGACCACTGTCAGCCCAGTGATTAGTTTTTAGTCTTACCAATGTTGACAGTGTCCATTTAAATTTTCCCATTTGGGGAAAATATTACAGCATATGAGGAAACACTTCTACACTCTGTCAGTAGTGTGATTAACAGAAGACACAAAGGGAAGTCATCATGGGATTTTTCTATCCCTTGTAATTTTTGTCTTCTTAAAGTTCTCTTTCAGTTTTCTTGAGAGAATTTCCCTTGGCACCATCTTACCTCATTTTATACCCCAAGGCTACATCTATACTGTGCTTTCTTGTTCAAGAAAATATGCAAATGAGGTGAAGCGGTGAATACCGCCGTGCCTCATTTGCATACTTAATGAGCCGCCATTTTGTGCAAAAGGTTTTCGAGGGTTTTTGCGCAAAAAGGAGCCGGGTAGATAGCTCCTTTTTGCGCAAAAGCCCCTTGTGCAAACATGGTGGCTCATTAAGTATGCAAATGAGTTGCAGTTCTATTCACCGCTTTGCCTCATTTGCATATTTTCTTGCGCAAGAGAGTGCAGTATAGAAGTAGTCCATAGGTTTTGGTAATATAGCTGTAAAATATCTATTTGAAATAAAAGAAAGAGAGATGGGGAGCTCACCAGATTTATAAAAGAAGGCCAGTGAGGAGGGAACATAAAGCTGCTATAGAAAGATGATATTATATGCACATATTATAAAAGAAAAAGGGGCCATTGTAATCATCTAGTACTTGTACCAATGGGATTTGAACTTGAGCCCTCTGACCCTGTGAAAGCCAATCTTTAAGGTCACCTGGCCATCTTAAATAACTGTATTATGTATACATTATGCAAACATCTGACCTATACTCTAACAGCCCTAGGGGGATAAAGGATTGGGTTGCATATAGAGCAGCTAATCTCCAGAACAACTCTGCACACTGGGGTAGGAATACCCCTAACACACCCCTGAATGCCAGGAAGGTGGTACAGTACACAATCAGGGATGGGGAAGGAGGGATGTTGCTTCTTTTGGGAGCAGAAATCAGATGAATGAACCAACCTGCCTTAAGAAGGCAGGATGACTGCGGAGCTAACCATAGGCCATCGCACAATTCAGGAAAGATTCATTCCTATCTCCATTACAACACCAAATGGTATTCTAACCATGTTAGGCACTACCCATTCTGTCACCAGGGCTCAGAACATGGTGACTTTCTGTATCACACCAGCAGTTTGGACTTCATATGACTTGTAATTCTATCACTGATGTATAATAGCCATAGGAGGTAGGGCACCAACAATTTCCACTCCAGCAACAATTTCTAAAGTTCATTATTCTGGAGGCACAGCATGTCAATGCAAACTTCAGTGTTAAGAGCTAAACTTTTAATTTTGGAAAAAAATTTAGATAGAGAAAAATGAATTCTAGGTTAGTTAAAGGGAAGAGCATCAGTTATTAGTTAGGCAAAGGTCATTTATTAGTTATGAAAGAGATCAAGCATAAATAAGTTCTTATTCAGAATCAATAGAGATTGAATCAAACAGAAAAGACACCATATTAAACAGATCCTGCTCTCTACTTCTCTGCAATTGATGCAGCATTTTTCTGAATGGTGTTCTGAGCTGTACCCATTAATGCAACATCAAGCTAAAACTTTCATCTGTGGGGAAAAATGAGATTACAGTACCATTTTTGGAAATATTCTGGAAGTCTCTGTGATTGCAGCGGTTTCTTCTGTGCAAACGTAGATACAGGGAGTCTGTCCAGCCTCTGCAACACATTAACAAAAGGTAACCATGGCTAGCTTTAAAGGAAAGGACTGGTGCATTGTATATTAAAAAACCATTACAATATACAACAGTTTTAGATCCCAACTCTACATACACTATCTACTGGGCTTGGTATTTACTACCAAATATAATACCTATTATCAATAGTAACCCCACTGAAGACACAATGGGACTGCTCATGGTAGTGAATGTTGGCAGGTTTGAACCATTATTTGGCATGTTTCATTTGCTATGCCACTCAGCATGCGCACATGCACGCACGCACGCACATCCCAGTTTAATTTTGGGATTTAGGCATAATTTAAGCCAACAGAATATGGCAATTTTGACAATTTGATTATAAAAGTTTTAAGAACAGATTCAACTTAACATTTTGGGGGAAGATTTGTCAGAATGCAGCAATCTGGGAGCAGGTTAACAAGGGTAAGGGAAGACCAAGTAGCCAGAAGTAGCAACCCATAGGGTGAGAAAAAGATAAAACTGCCTTTGCCTGGTTTAAATTGCACTGGCTATTTCTGAGGATTTTCACTTCAACTCTTCTCTCACATAAATGACCAGGAAAAGCTTTGCTGCGTGGCATAGCAGGATCCCAAGCCTGAAGCGTTGGCTAAGGGATTAGCATCCTTTGGATTTAGTTCTCAGAAGAACAAGAAGAATCAGTGGTTTTGAAAAGTCAGAAATTGGTTTTAGATCCCAACCTGATGTTTCTTTGTTCTTCTGCCTCCTCTTTTTACAGTTAATAATGTTTTTTTAAAAATATCAATTTAAGTAGAAATCTAGATATCTCCCAAAAAACCTCTTTATAGGCTGCCAGTGGCTTTCAAATTGTCCATATTTCTAGTTGTGTTTTTACTGATTCTTCAGATAATTGCTCCACCAACCTTTATGCTGGATAACATTTATCAAAGCAATGCTACTGACACACAGAGATTTTGGCTTCTTGTTATAGTTGTGGAACAGTAAATAAAAGTGAGGAAGTATTGGCAGGACATTCATTTCCCAGTGTTTTAATCTTGGGTGGACTGATTTGAAAGACAGATTGTGTTTGATCAATTTTCCCCTTTCCTTTGTATTGCAGAGAAAAATGTAAAAATCCCTGTGAAGCAGAATAGCTGTAAGGAAAGCTGCTAAAAAGACAGCTCTCTAGAATCCTTGCTGATATTTGCTCATCCCTACTGGGGCTGTTGATGTTAGGTTTGAACTCAGATGTAAAGGAATCTGAGCTAAAAGATGGCAAACACAATGCTGATAAATGTAAAGCCATGATAAGTCTTCAAAAAAAGTACAAAAAAAATATTACCTACATTGAAATGTGATCATGCTGCCCATTAACTACAAAAGAGGCTATAGAAATAACACATTCAATCTCTCAAGCTTTCAGTATGAAGTGGAAAGCAAAGCAAACAGGATGTACTGGTCAAAGAATACAATATTTACTTAACCAATAGAAATCACAAATTCTTCTTACAAAACAGCATACAGTTTTAAAATTCAATTTCCATAGGATTTTAGCTGGCTTTGGTTAAGTCCAAATTTTACATATTCCAGATATAGATTCGCCCAATTATTTTATAATAGATATGCAAATTAAAAACATCCTGGGAGTAAACAATGATACTCAGATTCCAGATGTATATCTGCTAACCCTTAGGTCTACTCTTTTCTCCTAGTTTTGTAAAGGGACCACTCAGTGCAACAAAAGTAAGTTTACTCTCAGGAAAGCTGGCTGGGAACTTGCTGTTTATTTAAATACACCACAACAAAGGGATGACAAAAAACCCTCACGCTGACTAAACAGGAAATAAGGGGTATGGGAGTGGACCAGGACTCTCCATCCCATGTTAATTTAGGCATTATTAACCCTATCTTGACCACTTTACTACATACACCTCGATTAGCCTCTGTAGGACAGATAGTGGTTCTCAACCAGAGATACAGGGGGTTCATCTGCTCATCTAGATATTTATCTAGTTTTACAACAGGCTACATAAAAAGCACTAGCAAAGTCAGTCCAAACTAAATTTTCATACAATGATTTGTTTATACTGCTGCACATATCATATACTGAAATGTAAGTACAATATTTATATTCCAATTGATTTATTTTATACTCATATGGGAAAAGGAGTAAGTAGGCAAGCAATTTTTCAGTAACAGTGTGCTGTGGCACTTTTGTGATTTATGTCTGATTTTGTAAGTAAGTAGGTTTTAAGTAAGATCAAACTTGGAGGCACAGTAGTCTGGAGAGGTTGAAATCCAAGTCTCTAGGTCATGAACAAGTAGTGGAGCTGCTCAGTGTCCATTACTTAGTTTATGGATTCCATACCACATGGGGAAGTCTATTAGAGCTGGTCAAAAAATGGAAAAATAATTTCAGGAAAAATGCTGATGATTTAAAGTTGTTCTCCTTTCACAAAGCTCAAAGTGGAACAATTTGTCATTTGTTTTTATTATTTTTTGTGAAATATTTTTCTAAAACATTTGAATTTTTCTTCCTTTCATCCTCCTGTTGCCCCCATTCCTTAACATTTTGCCATTCAGCACAATAAAGTGAATGAGGTCAAGGACTTCGTTCACCCACATTTCCCTAGCCCTCAAATTTTCCAAACATCTCCAACCATGTAAAAGTTACAAAGTGGCAGAGTTAGACTTTCATTTTCCTTCTTCCTGGTGACTTTTTCAAGGGTGAGGACTTGCAAATATTAGAATGGGAAAAGCAGAAAAGAAAAATAAAAAAAGAAAAAGTCCCCAAAAAATGTGGACCTTAGTCATTCAGTGGCAAAAAGGAAACAAGATGGGGGGAAAGTACAAATCTAAAAAAAATTCCAATATCTTAAATCCTTGGAATTAATTTTTCTGGGGAAGGGGGAAAAAATTCCAAAAGCTTTATGTTAATGTTTTTGGCTTGTGGAAAAAGAAAATTATAATCTTTTTTAATTTAATTTTTTTTTCTGAAATGTTGACCATCTGTCGAGACTGTGCAACATGCAAACAAAGTTGAAGGAGTAGATGAGGTGGGCCTAGAACTCCACACATGAGGGAGCCATGTAAAATAGTGCCGACAATCAGCTGATCCGGCACAGCGTGGGAGTCTAGATGCAGCACGGTCGACAAGGGAAGCCTTTGTCAACCGCTCCGGTAAACCTCATTTCAGCCACGCCGCATCTAGACTCCCGCGCTGTCCTGGATCAGCTGATTGTCGGCACAGCACAGCGGCCATTTTTATTTTAATGAAGCAGGGATTATTTAAATCCCCGCTTCATTGACTATGTCGAGTAAACTACTTTACATGGCTCCGTCGACGGAGCCATGTAATCTAAACGCACCCTTAGTGAAAATGTCTGAGCAGAGAGAGAGAGTGTGTGTATAAAGAACAATCTTTAACAATCATGGTTTTAGGAAAAGCAGAGGCACAGCATTTCAGCACTTTTATTTTTCCAAACATTATATTTTTCTCCAATTATCTTTGCTTGATTTCTCCTCTCTCCCCCACCCTCCCTTTTTTTTGTCTTGTCCTTAAGGCTTGCTATAACTTGACTTAGCCATTCTCCTAGCTTACCCAATTGTGGAGTTCAGAAATCCAGTGATCCCTGAGAAATGGGGCCAGTCAAACTCATTGGTAAGAGCCACTGGGAGATTAGAAAATGATTTCTGAAAGGAAATTTAAAAACAATTAAGATGGTTTTGTTTTCATAAATAAAAACCCATTTGCAGAATCAAATAACATTTTCAATTTGGAGCATCAGCTAATTAGTAATACTACCTTACATTTATATAGCGGTCACACTTAAAAGTTGATATTTATTTGTGAGATATTTCCTTTCATTATCATGGGGAATAACAGTAGAACCAATAAACACTTACACTAATAGAAACATTTTAAGCGCATATATTGTAATATCACCTCTGATTCTGAAGAACACCATGGTACTTCACAAACTACAGCATGTACAACACCTACAGCATCACAGGAGTGGTAGATATCTATTTGTAGCAATAACTTCTGAACCCATCTCATGGACCATTCCAAAGGTGGATGTCTGTGGGCAAATGAGCCAACAGCTACATGGGTCCTAAGGGCTCATGCTATGGGATGATGGGAAAACAGGCATAATTACATAGGGGATTATGTACCTCGAGGCTGAAGCCTTCCTTTTCTCACTAACCTCTAAGATCTGTGGGAAGGGTTGTATGGAAACATATGCTATTATAGAAACTACACAAGGTGAATCTTGGTGACCCGAGCCTCAGTCAATCTCTCCAGGTATTACCATAGACAACATTTTTAATTCAATTTTTTTAGTCACAGAGCTTAGAGGGAATCTTCCCCATGGCAAGACCGGCATTCTGGGGGACCCCTCTGCTTCAGGGGAGAATTCAATGATGGGGAAAGGAGTCAGAGGAGGGCATATGAATGGAAGAAGAGCGGGGAACAGATTATATACCTTCTTAGCACCAGGAAGAACTGCTAGCACAGAGCTTTAATGATAACAGATGCTGACTTTATGTTTTCCTAGCTTCTGCTTGTATTTACCTCTAACACATTTTCTATGAAAGACACTATGCAGATGAAAGCTCTATTGTGCATTTAATATACTCCACTCTATTCTTTTCCATTTTGATTTGTGAAACTGTTAAGAAAAAACGGAAGGAAAAGGCCTAGAGAGATCATTCTCTCTCATCCCTGTTTGAGGAGAGAGTAAATTTTCAGCTTTTACTAATCCAAGGTACACTTTCAAAGGCAAATGCACAAGTCCTTTGTACTCATGCTGAAAAATGGTTGATGAAAAAAGGAAATAAACAAAGGAAGGTCACAGCATAAAGCAAGGGAACCTAAAGGCTGGTGTAATCCATTTAATTTATTAGCTTCATTTTCTTTTAAACCAATTGTGTTTTTTTTTAAAAAAACCCTCACAACTATATACAGCCAGCATGTGGATAATTCCTTCCAGAGGTGAACAATGAACAACAGAAGAACTAAATCCTACAGTCTTAAATCCTTATTCCAGCAAAATTATCATTGAGGTGGACGGCATTTTTGCCTGAATATGGCTATTGGTTTTGGTTCTAAGAGTCAGGGATCAGGGGACTGGGAAAAGGAAGGTAACATAAATCATGAAGTCAAGCTATAAGCAGCATAATACACAGTAGATGCCAGTTTATAGCAAGTCACATCATCTTTGACCTACTTACAGTAAATCTGCTTTAGCAACCAACGTGAAAATGATTCTGGCTCAATAACCTTTCATCTTACTCTTATGAAAACACCGGACAATTTTCAAATCTGTCTGCTTCTAATTCTAGATGTGTGTGTGCAAGCAGGCACTTACTGAAGATACACAAGTACTTGGGAATGCTGCACAACTGTAAGAGAGTAAGCACACAATTTGGCTGGTCACTTTTGAACATTTGTCTTAAAATAAATTTATTATTAGCGATGAAATGAAATGCATAAAATAAATCCAGTAACTATAAAATACTGTTTAAGATCCCTTATCAATTACAGAATACACATGTAAGACTTCAGAAAGATGATGAAATGTATTTTAAAACAGGTGTCTAAAACCACTCTCTCATTAGGTCCGGCCAACACTGGGCTGAGAACTGTTGTCCCTGAGAAAGTTTAACAATATGATATTAAGCTGGTTTTCAAGATAATTTAGATTAAATATAACCAGCATCTAACCATGTTGAAACTGACTTGGAAACCATGTATTAGCCTAGCATTACATTCCAACCTAAAACTGTATTCCAGTTCAGCACAGACCCAGATCCAGCAAAGTATGTAGGGACAGACTTTTAAATGATTTAAGTACTGGAAGATGCAGACAAGTGCCTAGCAGTATTTTCAAAAGTGTCTAGAGCCTATCTGCATCTTTTGGTGTCTAGATGCCCAAATCTGATCCTCAGACTCTACAAGGATGTAATTTGGAAAGCATGTCTTAACCTAAAAAGATACTTTCTAGCAGAATGTAGCTTAAGCTAACATGCAAACATACCCTAGTCTAGAAGGAGGCACTAGATGAGTTCTACATTAGGTTAGATCATGCCTGAATACCAGCTTAAAGACCCTATTCTAGACTGCCCTGGTTTGGGAATTATGGTGCATCCTAGGAACCAGACTTCAGCAGAAAACAATTACAAGGATGTTCTAGCTTGAAACTGTGTTCTAGCCTTAAATGTTCCAGCTAAGCCTAGTTATGAAGCAGTATTCTAGCCTAGGAATCATTTTCTGCTGGTGCCTTAGCCTAGAATGGTAGTATAGCCTACCCTGGTTTGAAAATCATGTACTGTATTACCTGTAGCTCAAGAATCACAATTCTACCATGTACGGCAGTCAAAACAATGGGTGATTTGTACACAGTTACCAAGCTATGCTGAAATCAAGTGAATCTGAACCAAAGAACTTTGCCATGACTTGCTAAAGGCAGGGTGTCACATTACTGAGTTGGAGGGAAGCAGCCAGATCGCTGCTGCACCCCTAGGAGGGGGTGTTGGCCCCAGAAATCTGTATGAAAGGGAGCCATGTGGGGTATTGAATAGGAGCTTGTTGTTTTCTGATCCTGTGTACACTGTTTATGTGAGTATATAATGTCTGTGTGTGTAGATCTGTAATCTGTGTGGAAACTGAAGATTTCCCTGCATGTGGTTAAGCATTGGGCAGGGCTGAGCCTGTGGAGCCTGTGGACATGCTAATTACCTGTGGAACAATGGTTCTCAATGGGCCAAAGACACACCCAAAGAATGGGGTCTGTCCTGAGAGCAGCCAGCAGGGAACACAGAGAGGCTGAGGACCAGGTGACCTGCTACATACTAGAAGAGGCCAGGAAGGAGTATAAAGAGGCCATGTGGTCGATGCCATTTTGTTCTCAGCTCAGCACTTCATCCCAGAGGCAGCACTGCAGGGATTGAAGAGCCCGGAAGACCTGGGAACCCATCCTGATCGTAGGATGTGCAATAAGGACGTTTAACCAGCAGCTGCAACATCTCTGCTAGAGCCTGCATCGAGAACTGGGAGATTCGGTGCATGTAACGTACTGTACTTTAATAACCTTACTTACAAGCTTTTCTTTCTTGTGATAATAAACCTTTAGATATAGATTCTAAAGGATTGGCCCAGCGTGATTTGTGGGTAAGATCCAGAGGGCAAATTGACCAGGGTTCTGTGGCTGGTTTCTTGGAACCGGACAGAACTTGTTCGGGGTAGGTGGGATTGGGTGCTAGGACCCCCCACCTATGTATGAGGCCCGGGGCCATCTGGGGCACGGATATTGCTAGGGTGTCGGAGGGGTTTTGCTCGGGAGGCTTCAGGCAGGCAGCTGAAGCACTCTGTGAGACTGGTTTGTGGCCTATTTGGAGAGGTCACCAGTTGGGGGGGCTGTAAGGAGCCCCGGATTTGAGCAATTCGCCCTGAGCGGATGCCCTCAGCTGTGCCCAGACACGGCCCGGTCTGTCACACAGGGGAATATTTTACAAAGAAGAGTTGAGCACCTAACCCTCTTCTGAACTTATGAAAATGTCCTCTGTCTTCAAAACCATTTAGCACACGTGACACGAGGGCTGAAATTTCCAAAGCCATGACATGATCTGGGATACACAGTTCCTGTTCAACTGAATGGGAATTGCTTGATTAATTTAAATTGGGAACTGGGTGGCCAGGATCCAATGGCAGCTTTGAAAATTTCAGCCTATGTTTCTTTTCTCACAGCATAAATAAATTAGGGTATGTCTACACTACCCCCCTAGTACGAACTAGGGGGGTAATGTATGCATACCGAACTTGCTAATGAAGCCCGGGATTTGAATTTCCCGGGCTTCATTAGCATAAAGCCGGCGCCGCCATTTTTAAAAGCCGGCTAGTGCGAACCCCGTGCCGCGCGGCTACACGCGGCACGGACTAGATAGTTCGGATTAGGCTTCTAATCCGAACTATCTGTACGCCTTGTGGAACGTATTAAATGTATTAAGAGCCAGCATTCCCAAGTGGAACGAGGCGTACAGATAGTTCGGATTAGAAGCCTAATCCGAACTATCTGTACGCCTCGTGGAACGAGGTCGCGGCTACACGCGGCACGGGCTAGATAGTTCGAACTACGTAGCCATTCCGAACTATCTGTACTCCTCGTGTAGCCGCGCGGCACGGGGTTCGCACTAGCCGGCTTGTAAAAATGGCGGCGCCGGCTTTATGCTAATGAAGCCCGGGAAATTCAAATCCCGGGCTTCATTAGCATGTTCGGTATGCATACATTACCCCCCTAGTTCAAACTAGGGGGGTAGTGTAGACATACCCTCATTGTTAACAATGCAGAGTCCTTGTTTCTGTCCCCGTGTAACATCAATAATGTGCAAATCACAGGTTTCAGTTTAGCAAAATAAAAATCCAATTTCTCAACAATATAGCAGCCTGAAGACCAAAACATTTGCTTATAGAAAATAGCATAAACTTTGCTGGAAATAAGTCTGAAGCTAGAGCATGGGTGGTTCAGTAGATACATTATTCAATTCCAGCAAACACAGGACCTGATCCAGCTCCCATTAAAATGGTCAGATTCCCATTACTTTCAGTTGTGCAGGTAAGGATGTTAAATTTATTTAATCAACTCATCAACTAGTTGATGGATTTTCCGTAGACTAGTTGATTAGCCTGTCAG